TTTTTTTTTTCTTAAATCACTTTGTAATCTTATTTGAAAAAGCGATTTTAGTAGAGTCGAATCCTGGAAATATTTTTCTGACCATCCACTGCTGTAGATTATAGCAAGCAAATACCAAGCTGTCCAGATGCAAAACATACAAAAAAAATCAAATAGTAAAATGTTCAGTTGCTATTTATCTTGTATTATAATTAAAGAATACAGGATAGGGGGTGGGTTTTACTGGATAATGCAATTTTTCTGTGATTGAAGGCTTGGTCTGTGGTCTTCTCATACCATGTCAAATATGTGACATTATCCAACACAGCATAAGCCCTTATCTGTTGAAGTGCTCATTGTTAAAATCTCAGAGCACATTTAAGGATATCCTTTAAACTCAAGCAGGTACATTATAAAATGAATTCTCCAAAATGAGGAATTAGATATTGTACTTGTTATTCAAGATAATACATTCCATTTTGACTGCAAAAATGAGATAACAGCAGTGCTCTGGGAGGTAATATGTCACTGCAGAAAGACTGCGTCCAACAAACCCTGTTGGTTTTGTTTAAATATCAGTGTATCCTCCTTAATACACATTAGCATCCACTTGTAACTCCAATCTATTTATAATTTTAAAGTATCTCCTGTCCCATGGCTTAACATTTGGAACTAAAAATACAAAGCAAAAGGTAAGATAAAATGTTACAATTGGACCTGCCGGGTTTATTTTGATTGGGTATGCTTGGGCAAAATCAATTTACATTACATATTTCAAGACATTTATTAAAAAAAGACTCACATTTGGTCAATTAAAAATATATTATTTAGGGGGAATAGAAATAGAGATTTGTTAAATTAATCCAGACAGGGAAGGAAAATCTACAAAAATAGTAGAAAAAAATTACTTCCTATGAAATTGGCTATTTGCAGTACAGTGTCTGTTTAACCTCCTTCTCAGCCTTAAAAATGGCCAATCATCACCTTCTGTAGCTGGGTGTAATGTTTGCAAGATTAGTCATTTCACTCATTCTTCCCGTCCCATCACCATTATCTTCTCTGTCAGCCTGTGACAGACATTTTTGACAAGATGTTAATGCACACCTTCCCAGGCAAAAGCAGGGGCACTTCTTGCTGTGCCCTAAAACAGAGTGTGGGTCAGGAAGGGTCCAGAGGTGAAGTGCCGTGTCCAAGCCCCTTGCCTCCCAGGAGCTGGGGTTTGGTATGGGCAGCAGCAGGAAGGTTTGGGCAGCCTCGCAGGGTTGCTCTGTCTGGACTCTCAGGGCTCCACAGAACCACCCCTGTGTGTGTGTTCGTGCAAACCCCTGTTCAACACATTTCCTGAAGAAGGTAAGTATCTTCATGGCTGAAACAGGAATCCATGTCCACATGCTGTGTTTTATTTTAGTAACTGTTCCGTGTTACACAACAATTAATCTCTCTGTCACACAGTATCACTGATACTATGGTACACAGTATCATACTGTGTTTGGTAAACAGTAATGTTATCAGTGTCTTTATCAGTTCTGATATCTCTCTTCTTTGCATTTGGATAAAACTTTATAGTAACTGATATTTTCAGTATCATGGTAAGGGTATGTGTTATGGGGAAAAAAAGACTTGTTTTTTCTTTCTTAATAAAATCTTCTTGTTTCTTCAATAATACCTATATTTCATCTTCTTGGAATTCTGTCAAAAGCTACTTGTGTGTATTGTAGCTGCTAGACACATTGCAGAATTCTCTAAGTGATGCTGTCTGAACTAAAAATCTAGTTTTAGTGGAGAGAGAATAAGGGAGATAGATAGATACTGATGAAAAGACTGATTTATAAAACCTCAGCCAGTCTTTTTTTTTTTTTTTTTCTTCTCTGGCAGCCTGTACCTCTTCTTTGACTACATAAGCACTAGAGTGCTCTTCTAGAACTTCTAGAACTTCTATTTCTAACTTAGTACTGAAGTTAGACAACTCGTAATAAACAGTGTGACTATATATTTCAGTAACGACAAGGTTGGGTAATAAGTTAATAATTTGGGGAAAAACTTCATGTTGATTTATCATGATATGTATGTTCGGTTTCATTTTCCAGAGATTTGTCTTCTGGAAGGCCAGCAATAATTAGCAACCACTAAATGCTGATCAGAATTTCCAATATTTTGTTACTTTTCCATTTTCTTTTCTAAAACAGTTATTCTATTTTTCTGTTTCTCCTGAGTAAAACCTAATAGAAGGTCTCAGTGGGACAGCACACAAGAACTGTTTTCTTAATCTCTTGTGATGTTCACTGAATAGGCAAAATGTGCAAACATATAAGAAATTCTAACACACGCATCCACAAAAAAATGTTCATGTAGTTAATGCATGTTCACCTGTGGCATATTTAATGCACTGTAGACAAGCTTAACCATAATTTCCCAAGCTTTCAGTGGACTTAGTGGAAGTTTTAATGACTTTGTTTGTCGTTAATGTAGAAAGAGCCAGTCTAAATACAAAAAAAAAAAAAAAAAAAAAAGGATAGCAATGTAATCATCATATTTAGTACAAAAACATTCCCAATCCCACTGCTCTTGTCAAGTACTTTCTGTATAACTTTGTAGCAAAGACTTTTAGAGATATATCTCTACTGACCTCCTGAGAGAAAAGACGCTCTCTACCTTAGGAGTTGCCTGTATTTAGTTTTCGGGTGCTTACTCCATTTGAGAGCATTTAAACACTGACAGGGTCTGAAGTGAGAATACAGGAATGACTTGTAATGAAGTATTTTGAGAATATCTTGCATTACCACTCAGTTGTGCAATAACGTTGATCTCCCTACAGCTTCTTTCATTACATGAGATGTCAGCATAAAATGAAATCAGTCAATCACCGTAACTGCTAGCCAAACTTCCATCTGAAGATCTACCCGTGCCCACAAATATCTGCCACTAATCTGAACTAGAAAAGGATCAAGATGCCAATACTGCAGAGATTTATCCATGGGTTTAACTTTACACATTGTGAATTGCCTTGCACATTGCAAATCCATTGAAATAGAGGGAACTAATCAGAGTTTATGTTAAATACCTGTTCAGGTGCTGGGTGCTTGAGCCCTTAGAATAGCAGTGAGAAGCATGAGAGCCCCACACTGTGCCTCACTTAAGCTGAGTGTTTGGTTTCTGAATGATTAATTAAATATTTATGGAGAATATAGTTAAGAAGAATGATTGATTGCTGGCTATGGTTGGCACTGGCAGGTTTCCTGTGGCAGTAGCTATGTGTTAGTCTTGGCAAAACCACAGGGTCTCACAGCTATTACTATCATTACTGTAATTGTGTGGGCACGTGTACTTGTTGGCCTTACTAGCAAAAAGAAAAGTAAATAATTTTTTTTTTCTGAATGTGAACTTCACAATCACTTTTCATGTCTCTCTTGTGTTTCTAGCTCCTAATGTGGCTCCTTCTGATGTTGGAGGAGGGGGTGGAAGCAATCGCGAGCTGACGATAACGTGGATGGTACGTATTGCGT